ATCCAAAGACATGTTGTTTTTACACAGCGAAAAGTTTACACAGAGAAGATGTTACACACAGAAGCCTTTACACAGAGAGGGATTTACACGGAGCAGCTTTTACACAGACGCTTTTGCACACAGACGCTTTTACACACAGAAGCTTTTGCACAGAAAAGCCTTTTCTAAAGAAGCCTTACCACATGAAGCCTTTACACAGAGCAGCTTTACACACAGACGCTTTTTCACAAAGAAGTTTTTACACACAGGAACTTTAACGCGCTGATGCCCAAGCTTTTACACACAGGAGCTTTTGCACACACACGCCTTACAAAAAGAAGCTTTTAGACACAGAAACTTTTACAGCCTTTTCACAAGAAAGCTTTTACACAGAAGCTTTTGCACAGAGATGCCTTTACAAACAGAAGCTTTTACACACAGAAGCTTTTACTCAGAGAAGCCTTTAAACAGAGCAGCTTTTACAGACACAGAAGCTTTTACACAGAGAAGATTTTGCACAGAGAAGCTTTTTCACAGACAAGCGTTTGCGGGAAGGAACTTTGAGCACAAACGCTTTTTAGATACAGCAGCTTTCACACAGAGAAGCTTTTGCGCGGACCAGCTTTTACACTCAGGTTTGTTTTCACAGAGCAGCGTTTACGCGGAGCAGCTTTTACACACCGAAGTTTTGACGCAGAGAGGCCTTTACACAGAGAAGCTTGTACACACAGAAGCTTTTACACACCGACACCTTCGCACACACACACCGATGCCGGTACACAGAGCAGCTTTGACACACAGACGCTTTTACACAGAGAAGCCGTTACACAGAGCAACTTTTACACAGCGCGGCTTTTACACAGAGCCGCCGTTACAAAAAGAAGCTTTTCTACACAAACGCTTTTACGCATAGAGGCCTTTACACACAGAAGCTTTTATGCACAGAGGTTTTCACACGGAAGCTTTACACAGAGAAGCTTTTACACAGAGAAGCGTCTAAACAGAGGATCTTTAATACACAGAAGCATTTACACACACACAAGCTTTACACACACGCCTTTGCACACAGAGCTTTTACACACAGACGCTTTTACGCATAGAAGCTTGTTCACTGAGCAGGGTTTACACAGAGCACAGAGAGAGGCCTTTGCACAGAGCAGCTTTTACAATCTTATACGCGCAGAAACTTTAAACACGCCCTTGTAAAATCGCAATTTTACACAAGTTTTATTTCGCGCGAAACGGTTGTGCCTGACGTTTCAAAATGGATAAAGTCGCAATTGTACACCAATTCTTGAACGTTGGCATCTGATGTTAAAAAATCGCAGTTTTCCCACAGTTATGGCCGTTTGACTTTCATGCCACGCTTGCATCTTAACTTTCAAAATCACAATTTTACACCAGTTTTTGACGGTTGACCCTCATTTCGTGCGAAGGGGCTGTGCCGGGCCTCACCGAATTTGCATTTTGCCACATGTTTGGATGTCCGACCTGCGCGATCTCTGAAGAGGGTTGCCCGTGCCCCAAAGAAATTCACATTCCACCACATGTTTGGGCGTTCGAAACGCACGATCTCCGCAGACGGCTGCTGCGGGCAAAGAAGTTTCGCATTTCACCACACCACATGTTTGCCCATCCGACACGCGCCATCTCCGCAGAGGGTTGCCCAAGGACAAACAAGACCCGCATTTCGCCACACGTTTGGGTGTCCGACACGCCGCAGAGGGTAACGATTCGTAAGCCACCGCCTGGCTGTCCCTGCCACCAGAGAGAAATAGAAGAACTGGAGAAGTCTGATTTTGCAGGAGTCCAGATACAATTTGAACACCTGGAAGTTAGCTGAACCCCTGTGTAGCAACTCCTGTGTAACAATTTCTGTGCAAAATGACCTTGGCGGCAGGAGTCTTGTAGGAGTTCAAGTAGAAATGGATCACCTGCAAGTCAACTCCTGTGTAAATGACATTTTTCAAGTTTTGTAGGAGTTCCCTAGAAGTTGATCACCCGCAGCTGATGTAGGTGATGTTGTCTATGTTGTAGATGATGAGGATGATGTTGTAAGTGATGTAAGGTTAGATAGATTTGAAGATGTAGGTGATGTATAGGATGCAGTGATATAGATGATGATGTAGGTTATGTATGCGTTGTAGGTGATGTATATCATGTAGATGAGGTTGATGGAAAAAGATTGTGTAGGTGATGTAGATGGTGTAGGTGAGATAGATGATGATGATGATGATGGTGGTGGTGGTGGTGATGGTGATGATAATCATGATGATGTAGGGAAGATGGTGGAGAAGATGTAGTTGATGTGGGTGATGTAGAGGATGTAGTGATGTAGATGATGATGTAGGTAATGTATGTATTGTACATAAAGCATGTCATATAGATGAGGTTGATGGAACATGTGTAGGTGGTGTAGATAATGTAGGTGAGACAGATGTAGTGTGGTGATGATGATGATGATGATGATGGTGATAATGATGATGATGGGTGTAGATGTAGATGTAGATCTAGAGAAGATGGTGTAGAAGACGGTATAGAAGATGTAGGTGATGTAAAGGACATAAGAGATGTGGATGATGTATGTTAGGTAGATGAAGTGAAGAGTGAGGCGGACAGCAGTTCTTTGGGAAAAAGCCTTCGCACGAGCTTCGGAAATTTTGGCCACAGTATTGCGAACGCTTTTGGAAAAACGTTTTTTCATAAAGTGTTTGTGCTGTGATTGCGCCTTGTACGCCCGACCTCTAGAGTAAGAAGGGCGGGGCAATAAACATACTTCACTCATTGCGTGTTTGGCAACTGTTTTTGTTTCTGGCTGTTGGGGATACTCTTTGGGCTTATTTGTTTTTTATTGATTTATTGATTTATCTATTCATATTAATATTTTTATTCCCCAACAGCATAAGCTAATGGGGTCTTCAGCCCAGAAAAGCTCCGGTGTGCACTGGTGCAGGCGCCGGGTCAGGTTCAACGAGGTTCCAGAGAAGGTTCCGAATGTTCTGCAAAAGGTTTGGGAGGCTTTGGTGCAGAGCCAGGTCACGTTCAACAGGGTTCCGGAGAAGGTTCCGGAGAGGGTCTGGGAGGCTTTGGTGCAAAGCCAGGTCAGGTGCAACAGGGTTCCAGAGAAGGTTCCAGAGGTCTGGGAGGCTTTGGTGCAGAGCCGGGTCAGGTTCAACAGGGTTCCGGAGAAGGTTCCGGAGCAGGTTCCGGAGGTCTGGGAGGCTTTGGTGCAAAGCCAGGTCAGGTTCAACAAGGTTCCGAAGAAGGTTCCGAAGAAGGTTCCGGAGAAGGTTCCGGGGAAGGTCTCGGTGCAGAGCCAGGTCAGGTTCAACAGGCTTTGGTGCAGAGCCAGGTCAGGTTCTCCGAAGAAGGTTCCGGAGAAGGTCTGGGAGGCTTTGGTGCAGAGCCAGGTCACGTTCAACAGGGTTCCGGAGAAGGTTCCGGAGAAGGTCTGGGAGGCTTTTTGGTGCAAAGCCAGGTCTGTGAGGCTTTCGTGCAGAGCCAGGTCATGCTGGAGAAGGCTCCCGGAGGCTTTGGTGCAGAGCCAGGTCAGGTTCAACAGGGTTCCGGAGAAGGTTCCGGAGAAGGTCTGGGAGGCTTTTTGGTGCAAAGCCAGGTCTGTGAGGCTTTCGTGCAGAGCCAGGTCATGCTGGAGAAGGTTCCCGGAGGCTTTGGTGCAGAGCCAGGTCAGGTTCAACAGGGTTCCGGAGAAGGTTCCGGAGAAGGTCTGGGCCTGGGTGGCTTTGGTGCAGAGCCAGGTCAAGTTCAACAGGCTGCAGAAGGTGTGGGAAGCTTTGGTGCAGAGGTTAGGTTCAACAGGGCTCCGGAGAAGGTTCCGAAAAAGGTTCTGGAGAAGGTTCCGGAGAAGGTCTGCGAGGCTTTGGTGCAGAGCCAGGTCAGGTTCAACAGGATTTGCGGCCGTTTAACTCACGGAAACCGAGCTGAGGTGTTTCCAGCGCTTGGCTTTGCAGCTCGCTTCAGAACGATTTGTAAAAACAAAACTTTGCGGCTGTTGGGGATACCACAGGAGCTTATTTATATCTAAATCTATTTTTACTTACTTCTTCACTTGTTCATATGTCTATATATTGAGTTAGGATCATATGTCTATTTCTTTGCATGATCAGAGTTACAGGTTGAGCTAAGCAAGCACCAAATAAAACCTAAACCAAACCTAAACATTATCTAAATGACCCTAAACCAAACCTAAATAAACCCTAAACCAACCCTAAATAAATCTAAACAGACCCTAAACCAAACCTAAATAAACACTAAACCAACCCAAAACAAACCCTAAACAAACACCAGATAAACCCTAAACCAAACCTAAACATAAGCTAAATGACCCTAAACCAAACCTAAATAAATCCTAAACCAACCCTAAATAAACCCTAAACCAGCCCTAAATAAACCCTAAACCAACCGTAAGTAAACCCTAAACGAACCCTAAAATAACACTAAATAAACTGAAAACCAACCCTGAAGAAACCCTAAACCAACCCTAAATAAACCCTAAACCAAAACCCTAAACCAGCCCTCAATAAACCCTAAACCAATCCTAAATGATCCTAAACCAACCCTAAACCAACCCTAAACCAACTCTAAATAAACCCTAAACCAACCAACACTATCATAGCATCCAATGCCACTATTTAGACCCAACACGGTTGTGTTTCAACCTATATTCTACATGTTCACCAGGTGCATGTTATGCATGGAAAAAAAACGAAACCATGGAAAAATCAATTGACACCATGGAAAATTCAATGAAAACTATGGAAAAATCGATGAAAACTTTGGGTAAATCAATGAACACCATGGAAAAACCGGCTAAAACCATGGAAAAATCGATGAACAGTGCAAATGGCACATTTTAGCTCCAAAATTCAGCAAAGTACAGGTTTTTGTTCCAAAATGTAACAAATAGCAAGGAAAAGTGCCCCAGACTGAAAAACAAAAAAAAACTGCACCATCCTACCATGCAGATCCATGCGGTGTGTACCGACCTCCACCGCTGGCAGGCTGCAAAGCGCAACGCCCCTTGGTTCAAATTGATGTTTGGCTATCTTCAAGCACACCCTTGGTTTTTTTTGTGGGACAGCTGAGTCCAGAATATGGTTTCACCCTGCAAATGTGGGCCATGAACATTTTGATAGGAGTGATTGCGAGGGTGAATTTGGGTCTTTCAACAGACTTTACGTCACGTGTGGTCAAAAGAGGGGGCTCAATCATCCACAGCACAAAATCCACAATCAAAGTGTTCCAGTCACTGAATCTGAGTCTTCACCCCAATTAAACACCATCAGCCACCTTTTTGTTGCCATTGGTGCAACAGGCACTTGACTATTCGCGTTTCGATGGTATTGTGCACACCTGAGTGTGCAGAACTTCAGCTGCTGGAGGCATGGAATGGATGTGGCGAATTTGATCAAGAGGCTCCCATCAGACAGAACGATGATGTGAATGATTGCTATCATTGGCTATTATTATGATGTTTATTCATATCATCATATGTGTTTACTATCATTGCTTGTGATCGGCTAGCTGCAGGGATATTGAGGGCCTTTGTGCCCATCAGAAGCGGGGTAGCACATGATGTCAGCCCCATCGCGTCCACCTGAGGTTGATTCAGATTCTGAGGAGGAAGCATAGGCTGGAGGCATTTTGCTGGTTCGTTGTAAAAGGCTCAAAGCAGCCATGGGCAGATGGGCCCCTCGGCAAAGGACAGCCCCAAATGCGTTCAAAAGTTTGGAGAAACTCATCGCGGTGATGGCAGGGTGCTATTGTGCCAGATTGAGCTGCATAGACATATTAGGATCCTGTAGGGTCCAACCTTTGATTTTGTCCGCCAGACTTCTTTGATTTTTTGGTTGAGACGTCTATAGTCTATAGTATTATAGTGAAATCATATGGCATGGGTGTTGGCCTGACTGTTTTGGCTCAAAATTCAGTTCCAACTCATATGACAAAGTGTGACAAAGTCAATGTCCCAAAGCTTCAACCCTTTTTCCATCCGTAGAGACATTCAACACCATGGCGGCATGGCCATCCTGAGCTCCAGAAGGCTCAGTGGCTCAGTGCGCAAGGTCTCTTTTTAGGATTAAAGTTTGATGCTTGATCAATTATTTATTTCATATGTTAAAAAAATAGCCGTTTTGAGACGCTCCATATCATTAAACATATCCGTGTTTATCACGAACAGGTTCCAACACACGAATGTTTGACTATTTGTTGTGACATTGGGGGTTCAGGTTGAAGCATGACCTGGCCCTGGGAACAGTCGCTGTGGCTGCCACCGTGGCCACGGCCTTGCTTTGGCACCTTGATGGGTCATGGCGCGTTGGATGAGGAGGGTAGTGGTATGCAGTGCAAGTGTTGAATATTATTGAATAATATTCAATGCATTCACATGTAGCTATTTAAATATTATATCATATATATATATCGTTGCGTTACAGTACATTATTGATGCTTGTTGTGTTGTTTTAATGTGTGCTATTTTACTGACAAATAATGGATCCTTTGATGCCAACCCTCCGTTGCGCTCGTTACGTCCTGACTGTAGTTTCCTGGGTCCTCAATGGCAGTTTCGGATTGACGATGTCCGACGATGTCCAATCCCCTGATTTCAACAGCGTTTTCACGACGGGATCATGTTGTGCAAAACGAAGGAACACACGGCGTTTGAGGCTACACCGCCGCACAGGGAAGCGGCTAGCAAGTGAAGCACCACAGGCAGAAGCTGCTGCGAAGGCAGGGCATGCAAACTTAAACAGCCCATGATGTGGGTGTGTTTGGAAATGGGGCATACCGGCATACCCATATAGCCCTAAAACCATCAAATTGCCGTTTAGGAAAAATGATGAAGCATGGGTGTTTGTCTATCATCTCTATCCTAGGTTCAGACAAACCTATGTTTTTGTCCAGCTGTGGAGAGCCGTTGGTGGCAGCTCCCGGCGTCTCCCAGCCCGCAGGTCTTCGCCCTTGAGGTCAGTGATCACCGTGACGAAACCCCGAGCGCTGCGGTTGATTTCGATGCTCAGCTGCGGGAGGACTCCTGCCATGGCTGCATGGTCTGTCAAATATTTCCACTTAGCATGACCATGCATGACCCACATGCTGCAACTACAAATCTCTAGATGCACCTTAATAGACACTGACGTCAACCATGGATTGAAGGATTGAAGGCATGGACTTTCTGTCAAAGTTCATGTTGCTGAGGGAAACTCCATCGACAAACGCAGATGTGCATGATATGTTTGTTGGCGCGGCAGGCGCTTTTTACCTGTCATCCCAGGGATCCCAATATTTTTTGAGCTGGATTGTGTGGGTTGAGCTAGTGCATGTTCGGATGCAACAATCCTTGTTGTCATGTCCACAATCTAAGTCATACATTGCCCGCATCATCCTCCCATCACATTGGGAAACTTGGAAGCGTACTTTTGTACAGTAGCTCATCTTTTGCCAGACAATGAGGATTTTCTACATACATCAAGATACATCAAAATGCCAACCATCAAGAATTGCCTATGTTTCCATTGTATTTGTGATATTTTTGCAGGGTATATACCCTCTGGTTATTTAACATAGCCATGGTATAGATGGCCCATTTATAGGTTTACCTATTAAAAATGGTGATTTTCCATGGCTATGTTAAATAACCAGATGGTATATCTATAGGATTAGCCATGGTCATCCCATGTCACCCCATCATCCCAGCGCCAGGAGAGTCGACTGCTGGAGGAGGCCGCCCGGACGGTGCGGCTGGTGCTGGAGACCGGGGCCTACCATGCCTTGCCCCATGCGTCTCGGAGGGGAGCTGGGTGAAATGGGGGGATAGGATGGGATAGGCCATTTCTATGGCAACTGATGAGATTGATAAGTGGATCTGAAGTGGAAAATGTTGAGATCAAGCTTGATCGAAACATCTGGAAAATGAATGAAAATGATGATCAACAACTGTTGATGGGAACATGTTGGGAAAAATGACGATGAATGGCTGAATTGTGAAGTTTTTGAGGGCTCATGCATGAAGATGTCTTAAGGATCCAAATTCTGGGGTCCCCTATGTTGACCTTCCAGACCTTCCCCATCGTATACCCAGATCAGTCAGCTGCTAAGGTGCACGTTGCAGAGAAGCAGCTGAATGCCATCGCCCTGAAATTGGACGAGGATGGAACAACAAGGGATGGGAGAACTACGAACATTGGAAAGAAAAATGGGATGATGGACTACCATTGACTTTTTGGGTTTATGTTGGGGAAAGCTTCAGCCACACAATGATTACAGCACTATTTAGGGATATGTGGATGTGATGTCAATTTTCATACATTTTCGTTTGAACAAATCACTCTTGCATCTCTTGATGGTGTCAGGCTCAGGGTAGAAACAACGCTGGTGGTGTTTCGGCTCAGGTAGCCAAACCTTGAGTTCCAGTCGCTGATAGATGAGGGCGAAATATCAGCCCTGCTGTTCTATATTGAATTTATTTATAGGTAGTACTAGTATATGTACATAGTCATAATCCTCATAATACGCTGTTGCATGGCTCAAGAAAAAGCTGTGCGTTATTGGCTGTTAAGCTTGTTAAAACAGGTTGTCAGCCGTATAGCCTAGTTTTCCCCTTAGGTAGCGTTACTCACGTTTGCTTCCATCGTGAGTTGTAGGAATTCTCCCTTGCCGTGTATATAGAGCCATGGCCAATCCTATGCTGCCTATTGCAGATTCCCCGGAAACTATTGACATAAGTACCCCTCCAAGCTCTGAAAGATCGAGGAGCCAGCGAGCAGGTGGGACGCCTCTTACTGAAGCTGTCGCAATGATGCCACAGAATTCAGGTTTTTCACATCGAGGCGTTTTGCCAGCCGCTACCCGGGAGGGTGGGCCGAGCGTTCATGGTACTGGAAGTTCTGGAAGTCGGGTGTTCAATCAAATGAATGTAAACCACGATCAACGTGTGATTATTGATCAGCAACACTTTGTGCAGAACAACAAGGTACTCATTCAGACTCATGATCCAGCGTATACGGAGATGCTTGAGCAGACAGCCGAAGCGCGTCACCGCATGGCAATAGCCGAAGCGGAAGCTCAGGCCAATCACCGTCACGAAGTTTTGACTGGAAGTCTGAAGGAAGCACTGCAAATTCGCGAAGCCCAAGAGATCAATCAGGCAAGGATGTTTCTGCGGGAAAATGAGGAAAACATCAAAAGTGAGGCCGTTCAGCATGTCCGTGCCCATGAGGCTCAGTGTACAGAAAAGGTTCAGGCGTACCAGAGAATCTTGGACGCTAACCTCCGTCAATCAATGGCCACTAAGGAGTGCGAGATTGAACGCCTCCGAAGTCAGGCCGCCGAAAAGGAGCGAGTTCAGGAAGAACGCATCAAAAGGCTCGAAGAGCTTGTGATGCAGCAGAGTCTTCACAACCAAAAGCTCCAAAGTATGTTGGACTCTCAGCTGTCGCAACCACCTCCAGTCCAAGTTGTGGAAACCGCGACTTTGACTAGGACGGCGGAACCGTATGTCATTTCAGCCCCGATCCCGGCGTGTACAGTTGGCTCTCCGGCCACTTCCGTGCATCCGTCTCTTGACCCTTTCAATGCCGAGACAGTGAACCCACCATATACTGCTCCTCCGATGTTGGCTGGTCCGTATGCTGGCAATACCGACGGAGAAGTTGAGGAGATGGTCATAGGCCGAATCCCAGTAGGTGGTATCAACATCACATACTGTAAGAAGGCAGAGAAAGGTTCTACCCCAGGTCCATCAAACCAAGTTCCCACGAACAATGCCTCGGGAGATCATACCCCAATATCTGGTCGTACTGTGCAGTATGGGGTTACTGGTCATAAACCTAACAAAGGTCCCAATGATGGCAATAATTCAGGGGGAAAGGGAAATGGAGGACCTGGAGGGGGAGACGATGGGGATGATGGGGACGATCATGATGGCTCGCCTGTCCCATCTCCATCGCCAATGCCCGAAGCCCATAAGAAGAAGGATAAGAAGAAGGCGTCAGGCGGTGATGGAGGAGGGGGAGGTGATGACCCTGACAAAGATTCCGATGACAGTGATGAAAAGTTTGTTCGACGTATGAAGAAGTTTTTGGGGGGTGGTTTCAACCATAGCGGGCAGGATGAGAAGCCCAAGGTCAAGGAGGCAGATACCATCAAGCTTCCGGCCATCCCAGGTCCGGAGACATACAGAAACTGGCGCATCAAAACCCGAGAGGCAATAGTCGCAGCTTCTACCAACCCAGATTCAGCATTTGCCTGGATTGGAGAGGTTTGGAAAGAAGGTCAGACAATTGAAGCCCTCCGGAAGGTGGCGCCGTTTGCAACACTAGATGCGAAGCTCCTGTCAGCTCTAACCAACATCATCACGGGGGATTTTGCCCGAAAGGTCGACACTTTCAAAGAGACTGAAGCCAATGAGGGGAGAATCGTGAGGGGTCGCCAAGTTCTTTTCATGTTACACGACCATTTCAGTACAAACATGAAACATGGCTCGACCTACGCCCTTCAGGATCTGTTTAGTGTCCACCTGAAGGGAGAGAACCTCAAGACATTCATTTCGAATTGGGACCAAGTGCTAGCAGGTATTGTGAAAGTTCCTGAGGAGTCAGTACTTGAAACATTGTTCTATAATCAGGTCAAGAACTGCAAAGCAATAGCCCATGATTTGAATGAGTACCATCGAGCAGACGAAGGCACAGAGAAGAGAAAATATGACTTTCTTGTTTCCGCCGTGCGCAGGCACCTGGATCGTGAACGCCTGGAGACCAACCGAGAGAGGGTTGCTCGGAATCTCTCAGGTACTGCCAAACCTTCCGCACCCGCTGTCGAAGGAAAGGTAGGTTTCATTCCACGGGGTTACTGTGTTAAGTGGAACAAGGGAGGATGCACCAATGAAAATTGCACGTTCAAGCATGAGGTTCCATCCAAAAGAACTCCTTCCACCAAACCCAAAAGGGATTCAAGTCGCGGACGATCACCGTCAAGGACCCAATCACCCAAAGGTAAGGGGAAAAAGAAAGAATGTATTTTCTGGAAAAAGGGACGTTGTGAGCGGGATGACAAGTGTAATTTTTCGCACAATGGCCCTGCCGGGAAACCTAGACAGGCTACTCCCGCAAGATCCAATTCAAGTGGAAAGAAAGGGGGTAAGAAAACGTCTAGGAGTCCAGGCAGGAAGTCATCAAGAAGCCCTGGCAGACAGAAAAGCCCACGAAATTCCAGATCGCCTAAGGGAAATAAGAACAGCTCTAGCAGTGGCAAGGCCACTCCAGCAGCGGTTTGTTTGGTTGCGTCAATGCTCGCATCCGTGGCCAGTGGTTTTGCAGTCGATCCCATGAAGGTATGCTGTCCCAGCATTGGCATCCGCTTCTCCGATGAGGTTGATGTGCATAGGATTGCAGCCCGTGGGAACATGTGGCCTATTGTAAATGGCGAGCCAAAGAACAGAACCACTTATCCATGGGGCCATAAATTTGATGTTGACCAACAGATCGTTGATGATAGTGCGTTGTCCGCCACCATGCTTTCAGGTGCTGTTGAAAATTCTCTGAAGGGAATCACAGCCAAATGCAACTATGAATGTGACACTGAATTTGGTTGTGATTACTGCATTCCGAGAGGCATCGTGGCCGCCCCTGCCGAATCACGGGAAATGATTGAAGGTTCGATCGACTTGCAGCTCGATTGGATTGCCGACACAGGCAGTGCCCAAGATCTTGTTTCACAAGGGGAATTGCCTGATGATTATGGGTACTACTCATCCAATCCGATACGAATGATGACTGCTAATGGTGAAAGTTCATCCATGAAACAAGGAAAAGTTTTCGTCCCTAGATTGGGCAAGACGGTGGACCCATACCTAGTCAAGAGTACTCCTGCCGTGCTTTCAGTTGGCATGAGATGCATTGACGATGGTTATGATTTCATTTGGAAGGGTTCAAAGGGTGAGGACCCCTATTTCATCAAACCTGATGGAAAATTGGTCCCATTGACCGTGAACGACTACGTACCCTACCTTGCTGCCAAGCCAGGACATCTCATCGCTGCACCCGCCAAGAAGGTCGCACGCCGGGAGGCCGTGCCGGTCGCCGACGTGGAACCAGAAAGGGATCCCGGGGAGTTCACATTGACGTCGAAAGAGACGATTCTCCTCTTGATCTAGATAAATTTGCAGCTGAAATGGAAGAATTAGCTTCATCCGATCCCCCGAAGGGAACGCCCAGACCAGACAGTTCAAGACCTGACATTGTGTATGTGGATATCTCGGGCAAGAAGGAAGAAGAAGACAAAGATTCATCTAGTCCTCCGGAAGGAGAGGCCTTTGTTGTGGACTTTTCATCGAAACGGAGTCAAGGTGAACAGGCACTTAGAGAAGAAGCAAAATCTAAGAGCCATCTACTTTGTCATTTGCCCAAGAATCCGTATTGCAAGACCTGCCAGCAAGCCAAAATGTTGAAGCCCCCATCCAGAGTGTCCGGGGGGTCCAAACACATCGACGCCGAAAGATTTGCAGAGCACCTTACTGCCGACTTTCTGATCGCCGCTACCGATGAGGAAGCGGGGCTTGATGGAGAACAGGTTGCAATGGTTGTTAAGGATGTGGCCACTGATTTCATGTACATCTATCCCAGTGGTAGGAGAACGGCCAAGGATGCTGTTCTGGCCTTAAAGCACTTTATAGGACATAACGATGAAGTTGGCATTATGTATAGCGACAATGCTCCTGAACTTTTGAGTGCGTTAAAGGATCTCAAATGGAGACATGTGCTAAGTAAGGAGTATATATCAAAGTCCAATGCAATTGCCGAACGATCTATCAGATCGGTCCTTGAGGGTGCCAGGGTCAATCTCCACCAGGCGGGGTTGCATCACATGTACTGGCCACATGCTGCACGCCATTGGTGCATGATGCAGAATGTCATGTCTAGAACCGGGTCTGATACTCCCTGGAAGATTCGTTTTGGGGAAAACTTCAAAGGTCCACTGATCCCGTTTGGATGTCGTATTGACTACTGGAATGGTCCCAGAAAGAGACGGGTGAAGGACGGACTTAAGTTTGAAGCTACATCAAGTGAAGGAATCTTCATGGGGTACGCAATTCATCCTGAATTCATGTGGAAAGAGGAATTCTTTGTTGCATCATTGAAACAACTAATTGA